CAGCAATTCAAGTAACCTTCGAAGAGACTGGCGCATCACTGCAGCAGAAGGAATGGCAAATAATTAGGGGCATGAGAAAATGGTTTATCATAATAATGCACTCAGCTTTACTTGGCGGGTAGGAGGCTGCACTGTTGATTCCCACACCTACCCGGATGCAATGTTGGGCCGATGTTTACAGCTAAGGGATGAAACACACAGTCAGACTGCATCGTAAAATGTCTTCTTACACATGACGGTTAGTCCAATCCCTCTATTCTACTATTTTATCCTACCAAGATCAAAAAATTTTTTCGGGGACAGCTTAACTGATCTGAGTGGTGTACTCAAATTACTGATCATTTTCTAACGGGTAAAGTACCAAATCGCGTTTTAAAAAACTGCATTCGGGACAAGTTGGTGATGTTCAACAAACAGCAAGAATAACTCAAAGCAACTGAATTCTTGTCAAATGCTTTTTTTTTTTTTCGTGAAAATAACTAAGTTAGCAATCCTTTCAGGAGTCGAAACGAACGTCTGGATCGCTAGCAGATTGACCACTAGGCGAAGCAACATTGGGGTTAGAGGTTAGAGGTTACCAGCTAATGAAGCTAAAGAAAAACACTATGAATTGGGAAAAAACCAGATATTTCAAGAAAAAAAAGCATACCAGTTATGATATCGGTACATCGTTGCAATCGTGCAATATCGCCTCGCAGAACATTCAGCAGCACTGTCTCAGCCATATCATCAGCGTTGTGTCCCGTTGCAATCATATCAGCTCCACACAAAGCTGCTCCTCTAAAATATAGAACAAAATGTACTAGAAAATTTCATCAAACCCTGAAAACTAAAATAATTTTTTGAATTTTGAACTTAGAAAAATGGAATTTTTGAACGATAAATTCCATTTTATGATGTAATATTTGAAAAAAATCAGTAGAAATTTGGCTTAAGAAATGAGAAGATATTTAAATGCTCAAAGATTCACCGATCCAAAGCACGCCTGCGAAAAACACCACAAAATGTGCAATTATTTTTGGTACCAATTTTTTTCACAACATCATCCATCGTCCAGCCATAGAGATCTTTGTAATTCAATATCCTTAGCGGCATACCATAATCAATTTTATTGCTTTCGACAACTTCCAGTGAATCGTCCCTATAACCCTGAAAAATCGGGAATTGAAATACGATAAACAAAGATAAAATTTCAGAAAAAAGAAAAAAATCTAAATTAAGATCATCTGGGGCAAAAGTGATTTTACCTAATTGCCATAAGAACGAAAAGTAACACTTTTTTAAAAAAATTTCAACGATTCTCAATATGTTTTTTCCTTATTTCGGGAAAAATCAGCTTTGAATCCAACTAATTAGCCTGTAAATTTTGTTACCAACTATTTAATTTAACACCAATTATGCTAGATCAAATTTTCTTATCAGTGGGAAGAAGGATGATATCGGATAAAAAAAAGGGAATTTTACCTCAATTCCTTCATCGATGGAGACGAGCACGATATCCAATCCATAACCATGCTTCTTATTCAATTTATTTAGTACACAAGCCAAGACCGTGGAATCTTTGCCACCTGATGCTCCAATAGCAATTTTTTTACCACTTCGAAATAAATCTTCTCTAACAATAACGTCGTGTATCTCCTGAAAATTTCTTTTTTTTATTTGATAAAAGAATGGCCTCCAATAATAAAGCAATCTATACTAGTGGATACAGAGCAAAGAATTTGATTCTTCCAGTAAAACACCGAACTTTTGCATAATTTGTTCATTAGCTTTGATGGGAAATTGGTACTAGTGTATGCTACGCAGTCAATACGTATATAAACATGTATAAATATATAGTATTAG